ATGACTGCCTAACTCTAACACCATATCAAGATATCAGGTATCGTTGAAATGAATGCCATTGCAAAACAGACTGTCCCATCAATATATTTTTAAGAAAATTTCATTCATTTTGAGTAATATTACTACCGCGAATGCCACGATTCTACGTCATATGGGGTAAATCATCTACTATGGTGTATCCAAAGATGAGTAACTTGCAAGCCGACTATCAGTTCTACTCAGGAATTTCCTAAACAGCAGAGTGAGATCGGATATATATATATATATATATATATATATATATATATATATATATATATATAATGGGAAAGGGATTTATTTCTAAATTTAGGGGAAAAATAAAGAGCCAGTGAATGAGAACGAATGATATTGATTGTAACTCATTTCATTCTGGATCTTTAAATATACGTCATTTCTGTGTGGGATACACGAATAACAAAACCAAGACAGCGTACATGGATTGAACCAGTTCTAAAAAGGAGTAACGGTTGACAAAAACACTGTACTCTGCATTCAAAACCAGATAAACACGTTAATCACCTTTGACTGTTTTACTACCCAAGTATTTTCACATGCAGTGAAAATCAGGGATTATTTGAATATAGATCCATCTAACTGTTTTATCATTTAAGCTAAACAACAGTGTACATTCTGAGTTATGTGTACACTCCATTAAGTCAAATGAACAAGACCCACTGCACTCTATTGTTTATTGCTAATTTGCGATAATAAACTCATCAATATGTGTACAGCAAAATTGTAACCCCACTCAGTACATATGTTTATGCACTAGGCTGCGTTGCACTTATTTTGTAAGAGCTTGCATACTACGCCGCTATTCAGACTGATGTTGATGTTGAGCAATTTAGTCAATGAGCGACGACCCATTTCTAAATGAATCATTGTTAAATCATTTAACTATGAAATTGTTGCATCTAATTGAGGAAGAAATAAAGGGATTTGTAGCTATGGTGTTTGAATCGATCGGTAACTTTCCGTGAAAACGAAACAGCTGTCCAGTGATCTCGGATTTCTAATGGTTTCCCAACTGATGTCAGTCCATGATGAATACTACTTCTAAATTACATAATTCTATGGAAATAAATGTGGAAGCCTACGATGGAATTCCAATTATTTTATCACCAATACCTTTGCTGAACAGCAACAGTAAGACAAGAATAAGCTTAGTGTAAGACCGAAAGAATTCTGTTAGATCAAGGATGTGCTGATTAATTGTGAAATTTGTGGAATAAACTAGATGATCAACAACCAGAGCATACTTTTTTTTAACGGAATCAAGGTCAAATCTAGATACAATTAAAGTGATTAAATTAAGTCTATAACCATCGCTTTAAGTAACACTGACAGAACCAAAGAGTGTTGTTAAGATGTTTTTAATATAAGGAAGTTAGCTATACGAAGTAAAACAAGACTAGTTGAAAAGTTACTGAAGTGGAGTGAGCGCATTTGCCATTTTCCCGGCTTCAAATCCTTGACATTCCATACACCACTTTTTTCTTGTTTGTTCACGACTTCCCTTTCTTTCTGCATGGCTAATTTTCCTATTCCAGCAACCATTTAACTAAGTCCTTCAGACGTGAGACAACATGGAGCGATGCATTTTATCTCCGAAGTCGTATATTCACTCGGTTTGTATACATTTAATCTAAAATATCCGTTGAGAATCGAGTGAAACTTAGCTGAAATCGCGACGAACGAAAGTATTGCCTATAAGTGAATATCCGACTTTCACTACGAACATACTATCGATTTGAAACTACTGACTCATTATGGTCAAAAGTGTAAATTGTTGACTAACTGACAGCATTCGCACACTTAACAATAATGTAGAACAGAATTCTGATGCGAGGAGCAACTATATGCATTGAGAGATTCAGTTGAAATTATTATCATTATTTGTCCCCTTGGGTTCCTAGTGGAACACAGGGCTTCGGTAGCACGCCTCCATTTCATTCTGTTCTCTGTTGTTGAGATAACCCAACTTCATACTACACATCACTCCACTGAAAGGTAATCAAGAATTGAACAACAAATAGATTCTTTACAATGGATTTAAAGCTATTTTCCTATCCGTAACTATCACAAGTACGCAATGCCAAATGTTAACCTACACTGCTATTCAATTGAATCTTTACAAATTGAACAATTCGGTATGAGTAAAGCATATTAGTCTGCAAGTATCAAAAGGAGTCAAACAAACGAACCAATTGGTCACTGAACAATATAATTGACGGGTCAAATGGCTGATTATACATAAAACTTGGAGGCTGGTATGACAAGGGATCCGCATACAGCAATGATGGTGAATCATAAAATGAATGAAACATAAAAACAACCAAAGACAGGTCTGAAAGGTCTAGAAATACGCGAACCTTTAATCGTTTGCTGCTCACTTCCTTAACCGTATAACTCACAGTTCTGGAATAATTATCAACTGGGTGAAATCAGTTACTGTGTATTATCTAATTTTCTGTGCAAAAAACAGATTGCTTTATTTTCATAAACTGTGGTACGTCATGAACGGGAGATTCAGTTGTGTATACAGGTGACTTAAATTGCCAAAATATATACGGACAATGGGCTGACACTGTATTGTGTTACGTGTTAAGGAAGGCTGAATTGCGTTACCCATTCCATGGGCGAACTAATTATACCAGGAGTAGCAAGTGATATGAGAAGTTAGTTCCATGCAAGGCCAAATAATCACACTGTTCAGAAAAGTACAACTAGGCGTTGACGGATTGCGCAAACTCAGTGTCTGAATACCAGACGTTTAAAGAAGGGATATCGAAGATTGGGTTAGTCTCAAACTCGAGTCCTAGGTCCCATGGTTATCCACTAATAAAGCCGCTAAGATCCGAATACGGGCAGTACTGCAGCATCCGTAAAAGGAGCCCATACGCCAAGAGGTATCAATTCAACCATTCAAATTAACACCAGAGATGATCGGAATTTCTAATCGTAAACGAAATTATGGTAATCCAGTGGAGAGAAAACTTTTACGCTTGAAGCGATTTTTGGAATCAACATAGTCACATGTAGGTAAAATTAGCTTATGATTTCCGAATAGGACCAAAAGCTAGTCTCGAGTTTCACAGCTAGCTAGTACTAAGTATTTCTACGATAAGCGAATTATTCTGCTTACTCATAAAGACGTCATGAAATTTTCACTAATATATATGTTGTCAACCATTGAAAGTTTGCAGAATGAGAATCAAAGGTCTTCTCACTAACAAAATAACCACCTGATGACCTCAACATTGTATTTACTAATTCAATAGCTTCTGTAGAGAAGGCTAGATCAAGCGTAGTAAAAGGTAGCGTGATGAACGTGTTGCCGACCCTACAAATTCCCAGACTACAATAGTTTTGACTGTCCAGGACAAAATTGAGGGGATGGGTATGATTTGATCATTATGAGAATAAATTTTAATATAATTTCAAAGCGTTCAGAAAAAATCAAAGTAAGACGTTTACGAACGTTTCACTGCATACATCACAGCTTCTTCAAAGGAATTGCGCATTGCTAAGCACCTAGTTTTGTACCTAGGAAAGGGGAAGATGAAGTCACTTAAAAGTCCAAATATGTGTCGGTTAGCCGCTCAATGGTGTTCACGTCAATAGATGAATTAAAAGCGTTTAAAATAAGCTACAACACACTACTAGAACTTTCGAAAGGGGTTCCTGTTGATCATTTATACACACCTGAAGTGATACAAGTTGGACATGAGGGTAGCTACTCAATGAAAGCACCGGAGGGGGGCCACGCTATGTCGTGAACTGACAGGACCGGGAAATATGGACCACTGAACTCCGTCCCAGTGGCTCGATGGTGACCTGCTGGTCGCGGAAAATGGAGGTCCTGGGTTCGAGCCCTGGCGGGGTCATGGGTGTGCACTGCTGAGTAGTTCCATATTACGACGAAACAGCTGTTTAGTGTTACCAGGTTTCCAATGTTTCTGCAACAGATGTCAGTCCATGATGAATACCAACCTGAAACTAAAAAACTGTAACAACAGAAATTCATGTCGTTAAAAGGGAATGGTAAAAGCTCAAACCACGGTGGTCCAGGTAACATACACAACTTCGGTAAAAATGTTCTAACCATCTACGAGTACAGTGTTGATACAATCTGCGTGTGGGATGGTCATTTTTTATCAGAACTGGTGGATACTTATTTCTCACCTTCAATGCGATCAGGCTCAATGGAACACGTGAAAAAGTCCACGAGAATCAGTCCAATTGATTGGTAACTCAGCATACAAGTGGATGGAATGTAGTCCTTTCCGTCGTTTCACGCAAACGGTGTAGAATTTACAGGAATGAGAGGATCTTGAAGATGTAATTTAGTATCAAGGTAATTAATGTTCGTCTATGTCAGAATATCGAACAGCGAATTGACACTTTAGGGTTTTATCTATGGAGCATTGCTCCTTTCACTGGATATTCGAACCAGAAGTCACGGATTTAAATCTTATACCACCCACGTGAGCTGGAATGTTAGACGGCCTCATCAGGGTGCATACATAGGCTAGCACGGTAACTTACACACGATTTAATCTGGGGGTTTGTAGGGATTCAGTGATTTCAGGTTGGTATTTATTACGAGCTGACATCAGTTAGAGGTACATTGGAAACCTGGGAGCACTGGATAGCTGTTTCGTCCTAGTGTGGGACTCTTGAGAAGTGCGCACCCATGGCTTTGCCGGGACCTTCAGGTTCCGTGGCCAGCACTTTACTCACAGCCGTTTATGTTTGAAAAATGACTTCAAAGTGAGTGATTCCATACCATAAAACTATATCAACAATATAACTGATTAGACAAAGTTATTCAGCAAAGTAATGATGTTCGGTTTAGTCAGTGACAGGTTCAGTAAACTGAGACATTGTGAATATACCGACATGGAAATATTTTGGAACACTTTACAATAAATGCGGAAATTTACAGAACAAAGTGTTATCTCATTACTCAATCTTACCAGATGTGCTTGTGGATATAACACTCCCATTTTCCCAAAGCGTACGTAAAATGGAGTACTCTGATATTCCCCATCCTTATTTTTGACCACAATGACATCGATAGCACCGTCAGATTAGCTACATTAATATTTTTGTAGTATTGTTGGGCGCTTGAGAACAGACGACCTAGGTAGTTCATTAATTATTTAATGCAGAAACACGATAAACTGCATGTTAAATCTTGTTTAAGTACTTCTAACTATACGTAAACTGCAAGGCTATTTATCACGCCATTTCCGAATAAACTGATCGATATGTTAAGCTAGACCAATCACCAACAAGGTCATATTTTAATATTTAATTCATTATTTGGGTTACAGACTGCTTTATCCAATAGAAATTAACCTCATAGATTGCCTGTCTGTTCTCGTTGAAGCTGAGTTGCGCGTTTTGTTCACCATATTGTTATACGTTTATTCCAAGCGTGTGACAACTGAATCTAGTTTTTTTATTCATTTGTTCATGGGTGACATTTATACATATTAGTTTCAAATACAACGGACTACGAGGGCAACCATTTAGCTGGTTTTTCAATGAGCTGTGAAAATTGACTGTTTTTACATCAAATTAGAGTAAAACTTCGAGAATGATCCCATATAAGATTAGTCTACATTAATCTGATGTGGAAGTAACTAATCAGTTGACTGACTGCAGTCGAAACTGTCAATATAATGTCGCAAGTAAGGTCACTTTCCAATAACCATAACGCTACTTGAAGAAATACTGGATAGCCTCTGGCATTTGGCATGAAAAATCACAGTTTCTTGCTTGTTGACACTTCAAAATAGAGCGCATGCTTAGTGTCAAGAAAATTCATGCTATTTATGAGAATTAGACCCACATTACTCAACGCTGCCACTAAAATGTTAAGCCACTGACTAACATCATATTGAAGGGGATCACTCATATTTGTTGGGGACATCACGTGCCAGGTCCTCGAGTGGAACACAAAGGAGAAACGGTGAGTTGGGCGTCCGAGGGTGACATAGAGGAGAGCGTGTGAGGAAGAAATGAAAGCTTCTGGACAACGTGGAGCCAGGCTCAAAGGACTGCAGTGAAGAGAGTGAAACAGTGACGTACTACTGAAACCTTATGTTCCACTAGGAACCTAAGGGACAAATAACAGTAATAATAATAACAACAATAATAATGGAAGCCAATCGATGTCATAATTTATAGTCCTCAATTTCTATGGGATCTTAATAAAGAAGATTGTTCTATGGACACCAAACACCGTGGTACAGCTAACGCGATAGCGATCAATCAGTGGGTTTCTGAAGGTCAGAGAGAGTCCAATTGCATAGGTAAATTATTGAATATACGTCAAAATCTAATTCAGCTCTCTGTGATTTCCATATAAGATTAACCTTTGTGGGATAGAACAAAGCAATATAGTATTGTTTACTGGATGCCGTTTCGAGTACGACGTATTGCTCATTATCCTATCAAGGTCATCACACAACTTCTCGACTTTTTCTCCTATGGTTCAACTGCTATCATTCTTGGGTAATAAGATTTTATGTATATTTGGAATCCATGCTGAATTATTCCTTTCACACGTGTTAGGCATTGAACCTATGAACAGAGATTGAGTAGTCAGCTACTGTTCCCACTTAACTGCATTATTCTTTATAAATATTACTCTATCCCACTCTCTTGTGTAACTGTGTTATTGCAGGTATAGCTGTCTGAGTTCTTCTCTAGACTACTCATCTTAGTAGGGTCTATCAATCTAGAGTGACCTAGGTCCCTATGGTCTACTGACCTGACTAACCTCACTTGGCTAGTTTGATCTATTTACTTGTCCCTGCAGTCATTGTAAAGTTTGTGTAGATGATATTGTCTAGAATGACAAGAAAGCTTTGCGATCGAAGCATCCAGTTTAGAGAAAGCAATACCATCGAAATTTTACAAATCAATTAATTTGGTCTAATCGGGTAGATGGAATCCTTCTGAAAAAACTTAAGAGGATAATTATTCAGAAGTAAAGTTTCTCTTGTGTGCTTCATTTCTTTACTTGAATTTTCTAGCTTACTGATAGTAAACACTATAGAAAAGAAGCACATGCCGACGTCTCCGCTTTGAACAAATCGTTTATACGTCAACTCACCTATCCCATCCCATTTTGTCAGCAAATATCCAATGAAGAATGTTGTCCAGAGTTCACCTCGAAAGATGTTTTCAAATGTGTAAAATGCCCGGACCCTTCACACAGTTCATGTTCAAACAGCATGTCAAGCTTCGTATTCACAAAGTGTCCTGATATATTTATGCCAACCACTAGCTAACATGTTCAACAGATCGTTTTTAGAAAACACTATACCAGCTGCCTGAAAAGATATTAAGATAGTCATCGTACCTAAGTCAAGGACTCTATGCTCATGTATAGTTACCTCATCCTCCTTGGAAATAACGGAGAAGCTGATAATAATTGTGCTTGAACCCTCACTAAAGCCTTTCGATGACCCTCAGCAATTTGCATACAGAATTAGGAAAAGCACTTTGGATGTCACCGCTCCCTCATATCACAATATTGCTTTTAGTCATGATCAAAATGTCAAATATATTGAGTGTGCCTTTTTAGACTATGTTACGGCGTCTGATTCTGTCCCTAGACCTATTTTGCCGGACAAGCTAACCGGGACAAATGCTGAAACCTGGATAATCAGCTGGCTGCATTTCTATTTCTCTGAAAAGAAACAACATATTGTTCACAGAGGGAAGCGCTCCACCATATTGATTACTATGACTGGTGTTCCCCAAGAAGCCATCCTTTACTCTTGTCGTTTCTCATTCTTTCTTCATGGTCTACCATCTTCAGCTGGTATAAGTTTCGTTAAATATGCTAATGACCTGACAGTTTCCACACCTATCTCCTCTTCAGCAAATTGTTCCCAACTGAGTGATTTCCTATCTACTGTTAGACAATAATCCTTCGAGAATCGTCTTATGTTTAATTCTTCAAAATGTCAGACTATAAGATTTTAGTTTTAGACGTGAACGTAACCTACGCAAACTGCTCACTTCTCATGATCCCTGTTCTGTTGATGAGTGTGAGAATGTCACAAGTGTGATTTATCTGTGTGTGTTTTTCTTCAGACTTCTCCTGATCCTCCCACATATTATTATTTTCCAAAAGAATTTTCCAACTAACTATCTATATCAGGAAAATGTGAGTATCTGGTATAACAGCCTCTTATCTTGTGTTTTATAAACTCCTACATCTTGTCTGTTCTCCTCTATTGTTCTCCTGAAAAAAGACAGCTCAATTCAACGATTCTTCTTCTGGCCAGTAATACACATCCCTCCAGATACACACACAACCTCAATGTTCACGTTTGATGAAATTGATTGATTTATACCTTATGACATATTATCAGTTTAGTGGCAAATTCTATAAACAGAGAGAGAGAGAGGGAGCACCAGTGGTATCATCTACACCAGGACTAATTCCAGAAGCAGTGATCCAAAGATCGGAAACTGTGGTATTGCCGTTGACAAAAACAAAACTTTGCGTACGATATGTAGATGACATATTTGTCGTCATTAAAAGAAACGAATTGGGATACCAAAATATTCTGGATACGAATTCATAATACTGAATTACATATAGTTGCTGTTTTGACACATGTAATTGCAATACAGCGCCAAACTGCTCGACCTCTACTGTCAGCAGATGGGCTTCTATGCGAATATGTCAACACTGTCAAGTAGTTATGATGTCATATTCATATTGATGACTAGTGGAGGAACACAGGAGGTGTTTTTCGTCCTAGTAGGGACTCATCAGTTGGAAGTACACTCCGCAGTGTCCTAGTGGATAACGCGTTGGCGTTTAGAGAGATGGCTACTGGGTTCAAGTCTCAGTGGAAACAACATCACCCAATGGAGTGAAGATACATCCAGAAGACGATTACTAAATAGGACAAAACAGACATCCTGGATTCTTCTGCTAGTCACCAACATGAATATAACATAATGACCTGTAATATTCAAATGTTCGATTTTCAATTTGTAATATACAGAAAAGTAAGTCAATAAATGATTATCCTTTGAGCTAGTCTATTTATTAATGCTGGACTAGGAAGAAAAGGCATACAGACAGACAATATCAACATAAGACCAGACTTTACTATGTAACGGTCTATTTTGTAACAATTTATGTCAGCACTTATAACGAACAAGATGAGGAAATTTGTGGATACATCTAAGTCACTGAAATCAATTCTCATATATGTCACCTACAGTCTCTGGTGACCCTGGTTTCTGTTGTCACGTGAACCCAGCCAGCAGGTCTACATTCCCTTACATGGGTCACATCAACAACCAAAGTCTTCATGCACTGATGCAATGTTTAAATCTGGCCACACGAGGTATAATGCACAAACACCTGTTAGCTACTGCTGTGCCTGACTTGCCTGTCTATTTCGTTGCACTTGCCAAATGGAAGTACGTAATATTTCTTGATTAAGATATTTGAGAGACTGAAGTTAGAAATCCGTAATCGATTCGAGTTGAGAACATAGCGATATCATTAGCGTTTTCAGTTATCCCATGGATATGCATTGTAGACGCATTTGATTTCATAGAAAGAGGCAGTTGAAAGTAATACTCATCATCTGACGATATAGCCTTAAACGTATCTTTATTCAAGACCGGCAACACAGAGGATTGGTGAAGTTGTGTGATCTGGTGGTGCGATGGCCACAACTGAATATTTTAGGTTGAGGTAACAGTCGTTAAGTATGCATACTCTAGGCTACAAATCTTTGTTACCACTGGAAGGGCGATCGACTACAGGGGAGATGTAATTACACCTTTTGGAAGAGGAATTCGGGTAGTGGATGTAGAGACAGAGCGAGAGAGAGAGTGAGAGAGAGAAGTGTTGCATAGGATATCGTCCCTTTGTGTTGTGCATGGTTCATCTGTTTACTTATACGCCTTGAGATGAGTGTTTAAGAGATGTGTGGTGTAACTTGAAAGAATAAGT